TTAACACCTGACCTCAGACCCAGTACTCTGAGGTTAATCCCAGGTTAACACCAGACCTCAGACCCAGTAGTCTGAGGTTAATCCCAGGTTAACACCAGACCTCAGACCCAGTAGTCTGAGGTTAATCCCAGGTTAACACCTGACCTCAGACCCAGTAGTCTGAGGTTAATCCCATTTTAACACCTGACCTCAGACCCAGTACTCTGAGGTTAATCCCAGTCAAACACCAGACCTCAGACCCAGTAGTCTGAGGTTAATCCCATTTTAACACCTGACCTCAGACCCAGTAGTCTGAGGTTAATCCCAGTTTAACACCTGACCTCAGACCCAGTACTCTGAGGTTAATCCCAGGTTAACACCAGACCTCAGACCCAGTAGTCTGAGGTTAATCCCAGGTTAACACCAGACCTCAGACCCAGTAGTCTGAGATTAATCCCAGGTTAACACCAGACCTCAGACCCAGTACTCTGAGGTTAATCCCAGGTTAACACCAGACCTCAGACCCAGTAGTCGGAGGTTAATCCCATTTTAACACCTGACCTCAGACCCAGTACTCTGAGGTTAATCCCAGGTTAACACCAGACCTCAGACCCAGTACTCTGAGGTTAATCCCAGGTTAACACCAGACCTCAGACCCAGTAGGCTGAGGTTAATCCCAGGTTAACACCAGACCTCAGACCCAATAGTCTGAGGTTAATCCCATTTTAACACCTGACCTCAGACCCAGTAGTCTGAGGTTAATCCCAGTCTAACACCAGACCTCAGACCCAGTAGTCTGAGGTTAATCCCAGGTTAACACCAGACCTCAGACCCAGTAGTCTGAGGTTAATCCCAGGTTAACACCAGACCTCAGACCCAGTAGTCTGAGGTTAATCCCAGTCTAACACCAGACCTCAGACCCAGTAGTCTGAGGTTAATCCCACTTTAACACCAGACCTCAGACCCAGTAGTCTGAGCTTAATCCCAGGTTAACACCAGACCTCAGACCCAGTACTCTGAGGTTAATCCCAGGTTAACACCAGACCTCAGACCCAGTAGTCTGAGGTTAATCCAATTTTAACACCAGACCTCAGACCCAGTAGTCTGAGGTTAATCCCAGGCTAACACCAGACCTCAGACCCAGTACTCTGAGGTTAATCCCAGGTTAACACCAGACCTCAGACCCAGTAGTCTGAGGTTAATCCCATTTTAACACCAGACCTCCTACCCAGTAGTCTGAGGTTAATCCCAGGTTAACACCAGACCTCAGACCCAGTAGTCTGAGGTTAATCCCAGGTTAACACCAGACCTCAGACCCAGTACTCTGAGGTTAATCCCAGGTTAACACCAGACCTCAGACCCAGTAGTCGGAGGTTAATCCCATTTTAACACCTGACCTCAGACCCAGTACCCTGAGGTTAATCCCAGGTTAACACCAGACCTCAGACCCAGTACTCTGAGGTTAATCCCAGGTTAACACCAGACCTCAGACCCAGTAGGCTGAGGTTAATCCCAGGTTAACACCAGACCTCAGACCCAATAGTCTGAGGTTAATCCCATTTTAACACCTGACCTCAGACCCAGTACTCTGAGGTTAATCCCAGGTTAACACCAGACCTCAGACCCAGTAGTCTGAGGTTAATCCCAGGTTAACACCAGACCTCAGACCCAGTAGTCTGAGGTTAATCCCAGGTTAACACCAGACCTCAGACCCAGTAGTCTGAGGTTAATCCCAGTCTAACACCAGACCTCAGACCCAGTAGTCTGAGGTTAATCCCACTTTAACACCAGACCTCAGACCCAGTAGTCTGAGCTTAATCCCAGTTTAACACCTGACCTCAGACCCAGTACTCTGAGGTTAATCCCAGATTAACACCAGACCTCAGACCCAGTACTCTGAGGTTAATCCCAGGTTAACACCAGACCTCAGACCCAGTACTCTGAGGTAAATCCCAGGTTAACACCAGACCTCAGCCCCAGTAGTCTGAGGTTAATCCCATTTTAACACCTGACCTCAGACCCAGTACTCTGAGGTTAATCCCAGTCTAACACCAGATCTCAGACCCAGTAGTCTGAGGTTAATCCCAGTTTAACACCAGACCTCAGACCCAGTAGTCTGAGGTTAATCCCAGTTTAACACCAGACCTCAGACCCAGCAGTCTGAGTTTAATCCCAGTTTAACACCAGACCTCAGACCCAGTACTCTGACGTTAATCCCAGGTTAACACCAGACCTCAGACCCAGTACTCTGAGGTTAATCCCATTTTAACACTAGACCTCAGACCCAGTACTCTGAGGTTAATCCCATTTTAACACCTGACCTCAGACCCAGTAGTCTGAGGTTAATCCCAGTCTAACACCAGACCTCAGACCCAGTAGTCTGAGGTTAATCCCATTTTAACACCTGACCTCAGACCCAGTAGTCTGAGGTTAATCCCAGTTTAACACCTGACCTCAGACCCAGTACTCTGAGGTTAATCCCAGGTTAACACCAGACCTCAGACCCAGTAGTCTGAGGTTAATCCCAGGTTAACAAAAGACCTCAGACCCAGTAGTCTGAGGTTAATCCCAGGTTAACACCTGACCTCAGACCCAGTAGTCTGAGGTTAATCCCAGTTTAACACCAGACCTCAGACCCAGTACTCTGAGGTTAATCCCAGGTTAACACCAGACCTCAGACCCAGTACTCTGAGGTTAATCCCATTTTAACACCTGACCTCAGACCCAGTAGTCTGAGGTTAATCCCAGGTTAACACCAGACCTCAGACCCAGTAGTCTGAGGTTAATCCCAGTTTAACACCAGACCTCAGACCCAGTAGTCTAAGGTTAATCCCAGTTTAACACCAGACCTCAGACCCAGCAGTCTGAGTTTAATCCCAGTTTAACACCAGACCTCAGACCCAGTACTCTGACGTTAATCCCAGTTTAACACCAGACCTCAGACCCAGTACTCTGAGGTTAATCCCATTTTAACACCTGACCTCAGACCCAGTAGTCTGAGGTTAATCCCAGTCTAACACCAGACCTCAGACCCAGTAGTCTGAGGTTAATCCCATTTTAACACCTGACCTCAGACCCAGTAGTCTGAGGTTAATCCCAGTTTAACACCTGACCTCAGACCCAGTACTCCGAGGTTAATCCCAGGTTAACACCAGACCTCAGACCCAGTAGTCTGAGGTTAATCCCAGTTTAACACCAGACCTCAGACCCAGTACTCTGAGGTTAATCCCAGGTTAACAAAAGACCTCAGACCCAGTAGTCTGAGGTTAATCCCAGTCTAACACCAGACCTCAGACCCAGTAGTCTGAGGTTAATCCCATTTTAACACCTGACCTCAGACCCAGTAGTCTGAGGTTAATCCCAGTTTAACACCAGACCTCAGACCCAGTACTCTGAGGTTAATCCCAGGTTAACACCAGACCTCAGACCCAGTAGTCTGAGGTTAATCCAATTTTAACACCAGACCTCAGACCCAGTAGTCTGAGGTTAATCCCAGGCTAACACCAGACCTCAGACCCAGTACTCTGAGGTTAATCCCAGGTTAACACCAGACCTCAGACCCAGTAGTCTGAGGTTAATCCCATTTTAACACCAGACCTCCTACCCAGTAGTTTTAGGTTAATCCCAAATTAACACCAGACCTCAGACCCAGTAGTCTGAGGTTAATCCCATTTTAACACCAGACCTTAGACCCAGTAGTCTGAGGTTAATCCCAGATTAACACCAGACCTCAGACCCAGTAGTCTGAGGTTAATCCCATTTTAACACCAGACCTCAGACCCAGTAGTTTGAGGTTAATCCCAGATTAACACCAGACCTCAGACCCAGTAGTCTGAGGTTAATCCCAGAATAACACCAGACCTCAGACCCAGTAGTCTGAGGTTAATTCCATTTTAACACCAGACCTCAGATCCAGTAGTCTGAGGTTAATCCCAGAATAACACCAGACCTCAGACCCAGTAGTCTGAGGTTAATTCCATTTTAACACCAGACCTCAGACCCAGTAGTCTGAGGTTAATTCCATTTTAACACCAGACCTCAGACCCAGTAGTCTGAGGTTAATTCCATTTTAACACCAGACCTCAGACCCAGTAGTCTGAGGTTAATCCCAGAATTACACCAGACCTCAGACCCAGTAGTCTGAGGTTAATCCCAGATTAACACCAGACCTCAGACCCAGTAGTCTGAGGTTAATCCCAGATTAACACCTGACCTCAGACCCAGTACTCTGAGGTTAATCCCAAATTAACACCTGACCTCAGACCTAGTACTCTGAGGTTAATCCCAGTTTAACACCAGACCTCAGACCCAGTAGTCTGAGGTTAATCCCAGTCTAACACCAGACCTCAGACTCAGTAGTCTGAGGTTAATCCCAGATTAACACCAGATCTCAGACCCAGTAGTCTGAGGTTAATCCCAGAATTACACCAGACCTCAGACCCAGTAGTCTGAGGTTAATCCCAGATTAACACCAGACCTCAGACCCAGTAGTCTGAGGTTAATCCCAGATTAACACCAGACCTCAGACCTAGTACTCTGAGGTTAATCCCAAATTAACACCTGACCTCAGGCCCAGTACTCTGAGGTTAATCCCAGTTTAACACCAGACCTCAGACCCAGTAGTCTGAGGTTAATCCCAGTCTAACACCAGACCTCAGACCCAGTAGTCTGAGGTTAATCCCAGATTAACACCAGACCTCAGGCCCAGGTCTGATGTCCTGTTGTTTTGGCTGCTTGTTGCTTTATCTGTTTGTTTCATTCTTTAACCTCGGCTCTTCTCTCCAGTCATGCTGATGTTTTCTGTCCTTCTCTCCCCAGAACTACAGTGCATTCTGTTTGATTTGTCCTCTTCTCTGTCGTTCAGTTTCACCCTCTCACTTCTTTCTTTCTTTTCTTCTTTCTTTCTTTCTTTCTTGCTCTCTCTCTTTCTTTCTGGCTCTCTCTCTCTCTCTCTCTCTCTCTCTCCCTTTTCCATTCCTCCCATCTTCACTGCCTTCGTTTCTTCCTCTTTTGCCTTGTAGGGTCACTCTTGACCCATCTAAACGTCAGAGCTCAAACAAGTCCGTGTCGGGCTGCACGCTCCCGCAGGGAACAAAAGCAGTTAGTAAGTTTTCCTTTCCCATCTTACATGGCTGCATCTGTCTGTCTGCCTGTCTGCCTGGTCCCCCCCCAATCCATCGCTGCTTTAGTCACACCAATCTTAATCTGAGGTAAAGCTGCTTCTCCTGTAGATTAGTTGGGTTTAGTTCGTCCTGAAGCATTTTCTGAAACTCTCCTAGTTCATCACATATTTATCTAATCCAGCGGTGTCAAACTCGTTTTAGCTCAGGGGCCACATTGAGG